CTTGGAGAAAAAATAAATGTCACCTACGGCTCATAAGCGAAAAGGATCCAGTTCCCAAAAGAGTAGGAACAGCAGAAGCATTCAGAGTATTTCCGCCAAACAAGCCTTGTGTAGGAGATGCTGTGTTAAGTAACAGCTGCTTCAAGAGGTTCACCAGATGGTCCTTCTCAATGTGCTTGTACCTAATAACAGCAATAGAGTTGAAGTTGTAGCATGATGAGTATATGTGATAGGGAAACTGAAAGGTAATATTCAGCTCTAGACTATTATCAATTTTACCTCTCCGCCAAATCACCATAACTTAGAGGGAACGATAGACCATCATCATTTGCATTCGTGCTATGCGCTCCGCTCCTTGAATACCAAGCATGATACCTTCTGGGTAAAAGTTGATTCTCTAGTAGTTCATTCCATAGCTGGCTATAAGTTCTCTGGCATGGACCGGCAGAGAGAAAATGCATGATTAAAAAGTAAACTTCCCTAAGGTCAATATCAACATCTTGCTCTGTGGTGCATCGAGTCACAGTATCTGACAGATGATCTTTCTCATAACCATTGCCAGGAAAGCTCAGGGGCTTCATAGTATTGGCAGATAGTGTATTGCTCGAAGGGATGTACTTCTGAAGTGCCATTTTTTGCAATCCTGAAAATTGGAAAAGAACATCAAGCACGTAGTAAACCAATGCACAGCAAACAAGGAGATCATAAACAAGCGACATGGTGCATTGCTATAATTAGTTTAGACTCCGTTTCCACCACTATTGTTCCACTCAAAATATCAGAGGTTAAACCTGGAGTTGGAGAAGAGGTTCTTTCAACATAATTTTTCAAACTCGTTGCCTAAAGGTTACAAGTTGTAACTAGTGACATTATTTTCAACGAAAAGAAACGGTTCAATCAACATTTGAAATTATTATTATAACTTCATAAGGAGAGCACACAGCTTCGCTACAGTAGTTCCTTAACAGTGTCTTTGCATGCATTGCAAACTGGGCAACTTGAGTTTTCATATAATTTGAATAATGATACTGCGCTACCATCCTTTTGATCACCACAGTTGGAATCACAAAGCAACAACATCTGAAAAATTCGCATTGCACCATCAATGCATGGATTTCATAGAAGAACTCAAAATAGCCCAAATCTGAGACTCAAAAGTCCACAAATCAAACAACAGCACAGTATATTTCTTACAACCCGATGACTGAATCGACCAATACAACACCTAAAGAAGTTTCAATACAGTACCTAACCTTCTGCCATGTGGATAACAATTAATCACAGAGACAGCAGGACTCCAGAAACCAGAAGGTCCTCCTCGTGTTCCCCAATGCCCGAGCAATAATCCAAATGCATTCCTCTGATATAACTACTGCAAACCCTAATTCAACTCCCTGGCTGTCACAGCACAATCCCAAAATTCGCAAGGGAAATTAGCGCGAAGCATTCTATACGGCGATCTAATGCAAACTATGCACCAACCTAACATCTAAGTTCTCACTACAATTCATAACTCCCCAGACATTCTAAACAGGGAAAACGATAACAATAAAGAGATATTGCTGGCGAGTACCTTCAACGAAGTCGGAAAGCTGAAACGGAAAATTAAAACCGCTAGGGTTTTACAGTGCCGAGTGCCTCCCCCCAACTACCTCGTATTCCAAGGCATAAAATGGGGATCCACAAGGTGGCCGGAGTTGCAGAACGACGAGAATAAAAATAATATTCCAACTGCGTTTCGGTGACCGCTGAGTCCGAATCAAGCCGGAAAAGAAGAGAGCAGCCGCTCAGGCTCCATGAACGAGCTCGGTGTTCCTACTATGGCGATAAATTGTTCGTCGGTTTCTCTATGCGTAGCCGAGCCGGTTGGAGAGAGAGAGACGCACGCAGCGGGGAGATAGAGAGAGAGAGAGTGGGGGATACGGACGACGCGACAGACGGAGAAGAAAGAAAACGCGAAACGTAGCGTTTCGATGTCTTTGTTAAGCAATTTGCTTCCCCGTGGTAACGGCAGAATGGTGGTGGCCTGGTGGGATTGGATCGGAAGTGGAGGAGAAAAACAAAGCGGAAACCTAATGAGATATTTCCGGATTTAATATATGTTGGCGGTAACAGACCACGCGCGCTGGGTGGACGTGTTGGTTACGCAATCGGAAAAACGACGGCGTCACGAAGTGGTTTGCCTCATTGCGAGTTTTAATTTGTGCATTTCTTTTATCCTTTGTGCAATTTTTTTGTGAGCTGATCTAATGGGCTAGCCCGATTTATACATGCTAGGGTTCTTTTCTTGCATTGGGCTGATTGGCCCATCCTATTTTTCAGTGACTATTTCATGGGCTACCCCGATCCTCAAGCCCGTACAAACGCAAGAGAAAGCAAGTCAGCATTCAGCAACGAGTTGGGCTCTCGGGCCTCACATGTGGTTGTTGAACCTTTGGACCATAGTGTTTTAGACAATGTTGTGAAACCAGTTTATACCGTTGTACCCGTTTAGCAAGTGGAATGATTTTACTAGTGGTATAATCATTTTGCGACGGTTCATAATGCCAGTTAATAAAATACGTAGAAATGTCTAAAACCATTAATATCAAATGTACTTAATCATATATAAACCATATTTGAAGACAATTCACGTACAAGTCATATTGATATTTTAATAGAATGTGATATTTCAAATAAAATTACATCTAATCATATTTAAATTCACCAAAATGACGTTATTTTACTTAGAAATTCGTAGATCGATCGTGTCGGTCATACTGGTAAATGGTAATGTCATATCGTTTTCATGACTGGTACTGGTTGAACCAGACCAGTGGCATACCGGCTAGCGTGACAACCATACCTTTTCATGAGGGCAATTCCATATTCAAATATTTTTTTTCATCTTGTGTTCGCCTATAAAAAATAATAATGTGGTGTCACGTTGTTAAGAAATTCAAATGTGGACAACATGCTACGCGGAGCAAAACAACGACTATGAAATAGTACCACTTTAATAAACGCAAGAAAAGGGTGAATTAGCTGGATTTTGGAAGAGAGCGGCAAACATTTATTTTTTTTCCTGATATTTCCTCAAGAAAATGCGAATTAAACCGTTGTCAATACACAATATGCAAAACTAATGGGTTTATAAGAGCCGGTTTGTGTGTGTTATGAAGTTGGTGAATGTCCTTATACTAAAAAGGCTTAAAGCAACTCAATTTGGCGTTGGTGAGTCTTATTCTTCATAGGTATAATCATCATCACGAGTACAATAGACCAAACTAAGAACGATTAAAGAAATGAAACATATGGTGGCTATGGATCGACGAGTGCAAGTTGGAGAAACTGGAGTAGGAACGGGTGCGATGTTTCCCATGACAAGTGGCCACCGAAATTTATATCTTGTACGTTGTGGTAGGTTGGTTGATCTGATCATCACACCACATAAATTAAGGCAAGCGCAGCCGGCGGCATTTTGGAGCGATAATCATTAAGAAAACTACACAACATGCCTATAGCTACACATATATTTATGTATATAAAAAGTGCCTATATCCAGCTTTTTTTTTTTTTTTTTGTAAAACCTAAAAAGTATGGTTTATTATTGAAAAAACGTAGACATGAAAACAGCAGCCAGAAGGGGCCGGTATTGTGCTTGTGCAGGCCGAATTGGCTTCAAATGATTGTGTGCAAGGTTGTCACCCGCGCGGGTTGACCCACTTTGACCCTGACCCGGTGAGAAAAACGGGCCGCACGCACTTGTCGGGTCGATCGCCACAAGGTACTGGGTTGGAGGTCAAATTGTGTCATTTTTTTCTTTGTTTTGCGAAATACGCCTATTTTCCGATTTTTCTTTTCGCCTAACTCAATCTTTGGAATCCTAAGTTGAACATTTTAATATTAATGTTATATAAGTGTGTGTGAATTTTCACTATTGAATCTAAGTACGAAATGTTATTTTGGTGTAATATTACATGTTATAACTCATATGTTATATGAGATTTGATATAATTTATCAGGATAAATACAATATAATGACGCTTTCCATATTTCCGAGCTAAAACGGGTGACCCATTAACTCTTGACCCACTAGCTTAACCGGGTCCGGGTTAACCCGTGGGTTGACAACCTTGATTGTGTGCATAGTTTATTTGAAATCTACGTATCTGGAATAGAAGAGAAGGGAATATATAAGGGAGAAATGACAAAATCTGAAATGAGCTGATGGGATGGTTGGTGAGATTGCATTTTACTATTTTAGACATTAGTGACTAGTGGAAGCGACACTATGACAAGGGATGGTTTGGAAGAAAGGATTATTGAGATGAGTCGAATTTAAATTTTAATCGATAACATTTATTAAAATTTTGTTGTTTTAATAGATAGATTTAGAGGAAGAATTGTGTTGATTTTATCTTTTCAACGAAGCAATTGACAAATATTACCAGTTTGGTAGATAGTTCTTATAAGAAATTAGAGTATGCGGAATTAAAAGTTTCATCAATAAGGATCTTAAATTTTATTTAACAAAACAATATAATCCACTTTGGCTCCTTATTGGATTAAATTAGATCCAATTCCACCACTTCATTTCTACATCCAACATACCACTAAGTTGAGTTCGTTTGCTTCATGAATTTAGATAATAAATTTGTATGAAATTTACAGGGCTAGCGAATTTTGAATGTTCAAATCTATGGGCCATATGAACATGCAAACCTCATTTCAAGAGGTGGGATTTGAAGCATGATCATACATTCATTGTCTAATCTAACAAATTCCATAATCAAATTCAATAAGTAAACATTACTCTTTCAAATCCGCAAGGCCAAAAAATTCACCATAAATCTTAAATTTTCCAAAACTCTAATTTTTTCATAACAATCATTTTCAAATCAATAATGCAAACAACTTCTAAGTATCATAGGAAATAAAATCCCAAGTATATTCCATATATGAAAGAGATATTTCAATATAGTATATATCCTTTAGAAATAATGCATGTGATGCCATGTTTGCCAACTTGATGTCTATAAAATTGGATTTATAACACACTAGCCATTGTTTAATTTATCCATATACGCCTTTTGAAAAGTATTTTCAACACAATGGTTTGAAAAAATTGAACCAAAACGAGGTCATTTCCAAATTCCACCATGGAAATTAAGGATCATCATCACCCTCTCCACATATACATATATAAAAGCCTTCCAACCATTGCCAAACAAAGTACACTCATCCCTTTCAATGGCTTCCCCCTCTTCAAGCCGCTATGCCTCCTCATCACTCGCCGCAGTTTGCCTCCTCCTCCTCCTCGCACTCTTCTCTGCCAACTTCGAACCAACAGAAGCACAAGTCGGAGCTTGCTACGGAATGATGGGCAACAACCTTCCTCCACCAGCCGAAGTGATCCAACTCTACCAGCAGAACAACATCTGGAGGATGAGGCTCTACGACCCGAATCGCGATGCGCTCGCGGCGCTTCGCGATTCGGGGATAGAGGTGATTCTGGGGGTTCCCAACTCGGACCTTCAGCACCTCAACAACTGGGGCGACGCCCTGTGGTGGGTGCAACAATACGTCCAGAACTTCTACCCTGCCGTCAAGATCAAGTACATCGCCGTCGGCAATGAGGTGAGCCCGATGTACAACGCCGCCCTCGCCTCCGCAGTGCTCCCCGCGATGCGGAACATCTACAACGCGCTCGTCTCGATGGGCCTTCACGAGCAGGTAAATGTGGCAATTAGTATCTAAATTCATGGATACAATTCAATTCTGGACTAAAATATTCAACTAATTTAACTCATTTAAATCCAATGTTTTTTATCCAAATCCAATGGAATTGTGGTTTCATACATTGTTGACAAATTACGATTTAGTACCTATACTTTTTATATTTTACATTTTGCTATCTAAAAATTATTTTTTACAAAAGAAATCATTGGAGAATTATGTATTGATGCCTAACATTTTTTACCATGATATTTTACTACCTAAATTTTTCAAAATGTACACAATGATCCAAGGATTAGATATATCATTTGGATATATGAACCAATCTACCAATCCATCTAATCCACTTATCCAATCCATTTGTCGCCTCTATGAGCAGGTTAAGGTCTCGACGGCGATCGACATGACGCTACTGGGCAACTCGTACCCGCCTTCCGCCGGCGCTTTCCGCGACGACATAAGGTGGTTCGTGGACCCGATCGTCGGGTTCCTGAGCAGCGTCAACGCGCCGCTCCTCGCCAACATCTACACCTACTTCAGCTACCGCGACAACCCGGGGTCCATCTCGCTCCCCTACGCGCTCATGAGCTCGCAGTCCGTCTCCGTGTGGGACAACGGGCTCGGGTACACGAACCTGTTTGACGCGATGCTCGACGCGACCTACTCGGCGGTGGAGCGCGTGGGCGGGTGGAACGTGGACGTGGTGGTGTCGGAGAGCGGGTGGCCGTCCGGCGGGGCCGGAGCGGCGACCACGATTGACAACGCGCGCGCGTACGTGAGCAACTTGGTCGCGCACGTGAAAGGAGGAAGCCCCAAGAAGCCGAACAAGTTTATCGAGACGTATTTTTTCGCCATGTTTGATGAGAACCAGAAGGATCCCGAGCTGGAGAAGAATTTTGGGTTGTTCTATCCGTGGAAGCAGTCCAAGTATAATGTGTATTATGGTGCGACTAGGGATTGGGATGTGGTTCCAGGCAGTGAATTGAGTAACGCAACTAGCTCATTGGTGAGTGCTATGTAGAGTGAGTGATGGGTGTGGTTGAAGTTTGGATGTTTAAGTCTTTTGCGGGTTGATTTTGCTCTGTAAAATAAAGTACTCTACTTTTGATTTTTTTAATGTGTATCGGATTTCATCCTCGATAAAACAGAGCTATGAAGATGATGTGTTTTTCACATACTAGAAATAAGAGTGTGATTTCGGGTTGGATCCTAAATAAGGATATGTGGATGATATGTGTAATGGCATTTCAATTCTTTTTTCTATAAGATATTGTTGATTGTTCGTTTTGGGTTTACTCTCGCCTGATTTTACTTTTGGGTGCATCATAATACTTTCTAAAGTGAACACTCATTTATACACTTACACAATGACACTGTGAATATTTAACTTAAGAATTTTCAAAAGAATTTCATTTCATTTCAGAACACGTCTTGTCAGTTAAAATTAAATGTTGATTTTGAACCATGGATTTGTTATGAGGTAAACTTTTACTAAAATGTTGGGATATGTGTTTTACTCACATGCTTATAGATTATTGTCTTAATAATTTCTTCTCCAATCATGTTCTTATGAACAAGATTTCATTGCCTTTAGTTAAAGGGTAGCCGCCTCGTTTTTTAATTTTCTAGCTTTTGGTTATAAGAAGTCCAACTCCAATGGCAAGTTGGTGGCTAGCCGAAAAAGTTCCATCGAATATTGACTAGAGTTCACAATCATAGGGTCTTTTTTCGTTTTGGTCTGCGTTGCCAATGGAGACTTCGATTGAGAATTAGTGCGAAAGTGCGAGTAGATTCTGCATGGTGTCCTAAACTGTTGAGACCTTCGCTCTACAGGCTCATATCATAAAAAACCTTCGTCCTTTTCCCTACGGCCGAATATATTCCCCCTCCTCTTATTTCAGTCGAGCAACTTTATTCCTTCGGGCTCACTACATCGTTACTTTCCTTTGGCTTTTTAAGAAATAAGACTTGGTAGCAGCAAGCAAGTTCCTTGCCTACAGCGGAACTTCATGTGATGGTCAGGCCCAATTGATTGGTAATCAAATATGAGACGGGAAGGGAAGACCATTTCATTTCATATAACCTCTGCGGCCCAATCCGATAAGGGTTAAAACTACAACCCAAATGGAACATTCCTTGAATAAAAGGCCCATATTTCCTCGCAGTCATCCGTGAGCGGCTTTGGAGTGGTGTGTAACCTTGTGATAAAAAACTATGCATAATCCAATCAGAATCTATTACATCATCGGCTTATCGCCCCTTCTCTTTATCGTAAAGTCTATAATTTTTTTTCCTTTAATCTTTAATAGAAGATTTTTCACTTGTTTTAAGTCGATTTTTTACACAGTTAGATCAGATTAATTGTGCTCTTCAAAATGATATCCATTTTGATATATGTTTTGAACAAAAAAAAATGTGTGAATTTTTTTACCAGTCTATAGCATATGATTTGAAAAGCGTACCATGGCGGTATGAACATACCAAGACTGTAGGATTGTTGAATATATGATAGTAGTTGTATATTGACTGTCATTTATGACTTTCAACATTGTGTACCACAAGATACCACTTCGTACCATGGTGGTATTTTTTTTACTGTATTTTGTTCACCCATAAATTTGTGAATCCAATAAATCATGATGAACTCGTTCATGTTGTGCCAATTTTTTAAAAAATAACTTAAAAATGAAGAAAATACCATATGGTATGCAGTTGGTAACGAGAGGCGTTAAATTTTTTCCAAAAAAAATATTAAAAATGGATCTCATTTTGTAGAGCACAACGAACTCATTTCATCTATGCAAAAAAAAAAAAAAAAGAAATCCGAATTAAAACAAAGAATATATAAGCCGATTAAGAAAACAAGAGAAAATAAAAAAGCATTTAATTCTCCACTCTTAGATCTGGATTTTCTGAATAAAGGGCCCAGATTTAGTTATTGATGAGTGATGAGTTACGCACTGTATGTATCTGCCATCTCGAGCCCGTTTCTCCAATCTCCATGATATGCTATATGCCTACATTAATTATTTTTTCTATCCTAGGAAAATTTTGTCTTTGGCAAATATCACATCGAATACTTGGAAAACTCATAAAAAAATCAATTTAGTTAGGTATACATTCTTATCGGTGATCAACAAAAGAGTAACACAAAAATGACGATTGCCAAAGTTTGAACCAAAGACCTTCGAAAATAATGATATATTATCAAATCACTAGTAAATTTAAATTTCTCTTTTTATTAGAGAGAGGAAGAAAACTCCCGTAATCGTTAGTATGCCTTTATAGGAAATAGAAATAAGATGCAAATGGGAACGCATAAAGTAACACACTAATAGTATGCTCCAAATTAATTAAATCGTACTGGAAGGAATGAATACGTTAAGTAAACTGTTGATGGTTTTCCATCAAAATATCAACATGTATATACTATACACACTTCTACTAATTGTAAATGGAGAAGTTTAGAATTCAGTGAATACTTTATATTTTCTAAAAGTAGTGTATTGAATTTAAGTATATTAAAATACTAAACACTAATACACAATACAAGCTAAGCTTTATCTCCACATAAAGCAAATGAACATTGGTACACTACTCATTAAGCCATTGCTCCGCACGCAATAATAAATTAATCAACAGTATTATTCAGTCTTATCCAATCATTAACTGTACATATTTATTTACTTAATTTCCCCATAAACTTATTCCCTCTTTAATCTCCCTAATTAGTTTTCCATCCATATATTAGAGAAGAACCCTTCCAACTGTCCATCCACACATTTCAACAAATATATAATTTTCTTCCCCCCCCCCCCCCCCCCCCCTTCTGCCAGCTGCCTATATCTTCAAAAAGAATTTCCGTCCTTAATTTTCCAATCCCTCCTTTCCATAATTGGATAATAATTCTCCGCCTACCATCCGATCTCTCTATATAAAAAAACCACCACCGCATTCAACAAAAATCATGCTCTTCTGATGAATTATCTCCCGTTATTCTCTGGCATTCTCGCTTCCCACTCCGTTTCAATCCTCCTCCTCCATTGGTTTCACGCTTTTTCTTGAACCTACCTCGCTACAGCATTACTTAAAGTTGTTACAGATCAATTGAGCGCCGGAAAATGTCGTCGTCGGCGGCGGCGGCGGCGGACGATAGGAAGAGGAAGAGGATGATATCGAACCGGGAGTCGGCGCGGCGATCGAGGATGAGGAGGCAGAAGCTGATCGGAGATTTGATCGCGGAGAAGGCGGCGTTGGAAGGGAGCATCGGAGAGGCGAATCAGAAGCTGAGCGGCGCGTGGGGGAGATACTCCGCCCTGGAGGCGGAGAACGAGCGGCTGAGGGCGGAGAAGGAGAGGCTCGCGGAGTACGCTGCGAGTCTGAACGAGGTCCTGGCGACTTACAGGGAGATCGAGGTTGGTGGTGCTGATGGTGTTCCGGATTTTTCGGCGGATCAGGCTGGGTTTCAGAATCCGTGGAGCGATTTCGGGGTTCGGAGCAGTTCGGCACAGCTGGTGACGGATTGTTTCTAGCTAATTTGTTTGGGTTAAGCCGGTGACGGAGATGAATAGATGATCATGATGACGATTAGGGATTGGTTACGTGTTGTTATTTGTTAGTTTTGGGGGTTTTTTTTTCCCTGTAATGGTTTGGGTTTGTATTTAGTCGTTAGCTTTAATGGATTTGGCCACGTACGGTGCACTTAGTCAAGGAGTTTCCTCGGTTTGAAGCAAATATCATCATGGTTTGGCTTTGTTTGTAACATTAGGGGAATGCTATGGTGTTAGCCTGTAAAAAATCTATTTGTTTCCCAGAGCTGTGGCGCTCACTAATTGAAGTTGGTGTGCGAAGACTTGTTTCGTTACAATATAAATACCCATGTTATACCAACAAGACGTGAAATGAAACGTAACACGTTGGAAAAAAAAGTCTGGAATGTCTTGTATCTCCTGGAAGATAATTTTCATCGCATGTTACGAATCTGTCGCGTTCAAGATGACACTTACTCATCACCACAAAACAAAATATTAAGATAGGAATAGACCAAACACAAGTCAAAAGCAACCTTCACTGAGAGATCAGAGACACGATCATTAGAGAACTGCAATATGGAACTTTGTAGCACGGCAACTATGTGAAAGAATTTTGAACTAATTAATTAATTTTGCTTATCTCTATTTCACCCTTCAAATTGCAATGAATAAAGAGCAAGCATCAATGTAAAACCATGAAGGATTACGCCTAGGGTAGGGCTGCAAACGAGCCGAGTCGAGTCGAGTTTTTGCTTAGCTTGAGCTCGGCTCGTTTATTAATTTTTCAGCTCGAGCTCGGCTCGAACTCGAATTTTGATAATCCAGCTCGAGCTCGAGCTCGGCTTGAATAAAAATAATCTAGCTCGAGCTCGACTCGGTAGAGCTCGATAAATGCTCATTAACATAGCTTGTTAAGCTGAGTACAAGCTCGGCTCAAGATGAGCTCGATTTAAAATCATTTTTGCTGGAAAAATGTATAAACATAAGAATTTAAATGATAGAAAGAACACTAGAAACTAGAAATAACATCTAAATTTCATACACATCTGTATTATAAGACAATGTTCATGTTTAAAAGAGTAATTCATCCTTCCACAAGCTCAAAACAAGGCAGCTCGCGAGCTTAGCTCGACAAGCCACCGAATCAAGCTAGCTCGCGAGCTTATCAAGCTGAGCATGGTCTAGCTCAGGCTTGGCTCGTTAACTAACGAGTTGGCTCGCGAGCCGGCTTGTTAAATAACGAGTCGAGTGTCGAACGAGTTTTTTCCGATTCGAACGCCGAGTTGCTCGCGAGCGGCTTGGCTCATTTGCAGCCCTAGCCTAGGGGTGGTCGTTCGGTTACCGGTTATCGATTAACCGGCCGGTACCGGTAACCGAACTAACCAAATTTTGGTCGGTTATCGGAGGATGGACGAAATGGTTTTTGGTTTTAAAAGTGGTTCGGTTAACCGATAACTGAGATAACCGCGGCACCGAAGCCTATTTCGGGCTGTTTTCGGTAAGGGGGTGATTATTTCGGTTAACTAATAACCAGCCAATCGATTACCGATTATAACCGAAATAACCGAACTGCCACCCCTAATTACGCCAAAAAAAACATGCATATAGAACCATTCCGCCAAACTTGAGAATGGAATATCAAGGTCGGATAAGGAAGAAGACAAATCTATACCAATTATATAAATTTTTTAGAAGAAAGCCAAGTTGAAAGAAGCGGGAAGCAAAGTTTAAAGGCAACACGTAGCTCCCGACGAATGAATAGATAAGAAGACTGTGGCGGCTGTCTGTGGACAGACTTTCTAGCAAACAAAATGAACATTATCCTTTAGCCTTCTACAGAATCATGAGACCATTACCCAGAAACGGAAACTTCAACGCCTCAACATCTGGAAATGCCTCCAAAAAGTCAACCATAAAGGCATTTTTTCTAGTGCTGAAAGTTTGATACCAAATATATCGAATATCGTACCGAATTTGTCTATATTTGGTATTACCGAATACACGTATTATTCCTTGCGATTGAGATTGAGATTGAATTCCAATTGTTATTCGATATAAAGGATTACGGGATTGAGATCAGTATATACCGAAGTACCGATCAATACCGAAATAGTGTGTATTTTATTCTCTCAACTAGACTCTCTCGTTCACTACTACACGACCATCAACCACCAAGAGTGTCATTTAATTATACATATATCATTCCATCACTATTAATAGTCGTATCTCAACTTCCAATTCTTCAAATTAACGATTACCAATGACAAGAATTTGAGATGTCTCCTCTCCTTTATTCTCCTTAATAATATCTTAACTCAAGACTCTTTGCTTAGTTTTTCCCTCATAAATTAAATAATAAAATCTAATTTATACATTTTATTATTAATTGCAAAGATAATTAATTTTGTATTCGAATATCGATTGACCGAAGTATCGATTGGGATACCGAAATATTTAGGAGTTGGGATTGGGATTAGAATACCGAAATTATTTAGGAATTGAGATTGGAATTAACTTTATAGTTTAATTCAGTATTCGAAATTTCGGTATTTGGTATTGGGATACCGTACCGATGTCCACTCCTAATTTTGTCCCACTTCAAACATAAGGCTGAGTCCAGTGGGCACCCTATTTATGGGGGAATATGCAAAAATGAAGGAGGAGATGGTCCAATGGGGAGGTTTGGGCCTCCAAAAATGGAGGATCCTGCAAATGGAACCCCAAATTTGGGGGCGGAAATGGGGGATCCCCAAATATAGAGACTCCCCAAAGCCAGCTACGTGGCTTTTCTTTTTCTTTTTAAGATTTTAGGGGTTATTTGGGGGTTTAATTAGGGGATTAGTTAGGAATTTAATTAGATCAATAATTTTCAAGTGTTGTGTGTAAACCCAAATTAGGCACATAATTTTTTTCCAAAAAAATTCGGAATTTAACAAAATTCTATCGAAAAATTTGTATTTAAAAATGTTGACGAACTATACAAAAATTAACATGAATAAATTATATTAAGGTTACGATAAATATATTTTTAAGTAAATGGAAAAACTAAAAAAATGGAAATCCCCAAATATGGAGATTGAAGCATTGGAGCAAAAGAAGGAAAAATGGGGATCAATTCCCAAATTTAGGGATAAAGGGCCCCAAATTTGGGGTATTGCATTGGACTTGTCCTAAAGGCACCGAGAGAGAAAAGAAAGCCCATGGGAAGCGCAATGGTTCAAGCCCTTTCAGTCAATCCTTGGCCCAGCCCAACAATCATTCAATCAAGCGCCACCTAAAGAAGTACTATCTTACTTGGTCTCTTGTATCAAGAGAGAAACTACACAATGGTTCAAGCCCTTTCAGTCAATCCTTGGCCCAGCCCAACAATCATTCAATCAAGAGCCACCTAAAGAAGTACTATCTTACTTGGTCTCTTGTATCAAGAGAGAAACTACACAATGCAAACTGAAACATATTAGAGCATCTCCACCCTATTGCTTATTGCTATTGCTTATTAGGTGGAATCTTATGTGGCAATAGCTTTAAGCAATTGCAAGGATGTAGCACTTCTGTTAGAATATGACTTGAATTTGATTGGTTTTGTTTTGCGTTTTAGGCATATTTTGTTTGGGTTTGGGATTGAGTTTTGTTTTGACCTTTTCCTTGTATGTGTTGGGACAAGGTGTTTGGTTTTCTGTTTGGGATTAGGAGAAGAGTTCTATAAATACTCTTCATCACCCTAGTCTGCAGTAAGGTCAGTCAGGTTAGTTTGTTTGGTTTGTCCGTTTGGAATTTGGTTTGTAACCTGTACTCTCCTCAAATTAGTGAAATTTCTCCCCTGCTCGTGGATTAGCTAGCACACATTGTGTTAGTGAACCACGTTAAATTTGTGTTCGTTCGTGTTGGTTTGGATTATCGATTGCACGCTTCTGTTCTGACAAGTGGTATCAGAGTCTGGTTGCGGTTTTGGGGATTTGGCGCTGGACTGAAGTTTTGCTTTGTGGAGTTTGGTTGGAGTTTGTTTGATAGTAAGAATGGCTGCTATCAGTATGAAGATTGAGAAGTTTACCGGAAGAAACAGTTTCAGTTTGTGGCAGATCAAGATGCAAGCACTGTTGAAACAACAGGGTTTGTGGGCTCCGTTGTCTGGAAAATCGAAGAAGGAAAGTATAGATGAAGAAGAGTGGATTACTTTGGAGGAGAAAGCTCACTCTACAATCTTGCTTTGTTTGGCTGATGACATCATCACTGAGGTTGCTACTGAAAAGACTGCTGCAGGCTTGTGGTTGAAGCTTGAAAGTCTATACATGACAAAGTCTTTAACTAACAAGTTGCATATGAAGCAACGTTTGTTCAGTTTGCGTATGGAGGAAGGTACGTCTCTCAGAAATCATATAGATCAACTCAATACTATCTTGCTAGATCTGCGGAATATTGATGTTAAAATAGATGATGAGGATGCTGCCTTAATTCTGTTAGTATCTTTGCCACGGTCGTATGAGAATTTTGTGGATTCTTTTATTGCTGGGAAAGATAGTTTGTCTTTGGAAGATGTCAGATCTGCTCTACATACTAGGGAGGTTTGGCATAAGGCGTATGGTTCATGTTCGGAAAATCTGGCATCTGGGTTGGCTGCTACGAGTAGTAGGAGACAACAATCTGGTAATAGGAAGGCGAAGACAAATTCGAATTCTGCTGGTTTGAAGGATGATATCTGTCATTACTGCAAGGAGAAAGGACATTGGAAATTTGATTGTCCTAAACTGAAGAAATATCAGGAGAAGAAGGAATCATCTGCTGTTGTGGCGGAAGAAACTAACTCTGATTCTGAAGATGGTTTAGCCTTAGCAGTGAATGAACAGGTACATCATCAGGATGTGTGGTATTTAGATACTGCAGCTGATTATCATATGTGTCCAAGCAAGGAGTGTTTTTCAACTTATGAGCATATAGATGGAGGACATGTTTCTATGGCCAATGGTGCTATCTGTAAGATTGTTGGAAGAGGCTCCGTCAGGATGAGGACACATGATGGTTCTGTTCGCACCTTGAACAATGTTAGGCATATTCCAGAGATGACTAAGAATCTGATATCTTTGAGTCTACTCGCCAGCAAGGGTTTCAGTTTCAAAGGTGAAGGTGGAGTGTTGTCTGTCTACAAGGGTTCTAAGGTGATTTTGAAAGGTGTCAAGCGGGGTGCCTTGTATAGTCTACAAGGTTTTGTTTTGACATGTTCTGTTGGTGATAAGTGCACCAAGTTGGTTCTAAATGGCAAGTCTCAATATGGATTGGACTTGCTGAATGGTTTGATTTGTTGACCGTCCTTAGGGGCATCTGGAGGCGGGGGAGATTCTGGTACAGCTGATTTGGAGGAGTTGGGTACATCTGGCAACTTTGGTTGCATCTTGTGCATTTGGTATTAGAGAGAGAATTCAAATCAAGGTGGAGATTGTTAGAATATGACTTGAATTTGATTGGTTTTGTTTTGTGTTTTAGGCATATTTTGTTTGGGTTTGGGATTGAGTTTTGTTTTGACCTTTTCCTTGTATGTTTGGGACAAGGTGTTTGGTTTTCTGTTTGGGATTAGGAGAAGAGTTCTATAAATACTCTTCATCACCCTAGTCTGTAGTAAGGTCAGTCAGGTTAGTTTGTTTGGTTTGTCCGTTTGGAATTTGGTTTGTAACCTGTACTCTCCTCAAATTAGTGAAATTTCTCCCCTGCTCGTGGATTAGCTAGCACACATTGTGTTAGTGAACCACGTTAAATTTGTGTTCGTTCGTGTTGGTTTGGATTATCGATTGCACGCTTCTGTTCTGACAACTTCTTTCTTATTTAGCAAGATTGCTAAATAAACAATCCCCTTTTGCAATGCCACATAAACAATTGGAACCGGCAATGCCACATTAGCACTTCTTTCTTCTTTCTTATTCATGCACCCAAATTCTTTTTTCTTTCTTTCTTTCCTATCCACTTTGTATACACAAAATGTTAAACTTAATAATTCTTGTGCTTATAATTTGTTTAAGTTGATAATAAATTAAAAGCATAAATTATATTTTTAATTATAGTGAGCATGAAAACTTAAACTTAATAATTCTTGTGCTTATAATTTGTTTAAGTTGTTAATAAATTGAAAGCATAAATTATATTTTTAATTATATTGAACATGAAAACTTAATACAAAGAGGTATAGTTTATGATTGAAAATTCATGCACAAAACTAGAAAGAAATCACACTACATAATTTCATTATATAATTTTATAGTTTATGATTGAAAATCCATGCACAAAACTAGAAAGAAATCACACTATATAATTTCATTATGTAATTTTTCTTTATTTTTATTTGGTGTATGCTATGTATTTTGTGTTTATTAAATTTCAAAAGTCTATTATCTATTATGTAAAAGTATTGTTAAAAAAAAAGAATATGTAATAGGTCCCATTAATTGCAATTGCTAACTTATTGCAGGGATATAGATGGTTTGAAATGGGTGAATTGAATAATTGCTAAAATTGGTAATGTGGATGTGAGGTTCATTTATGAAATGGCTAACCTATTGCAGGAATGGAGATGATCTAATCAATGTAACAGAACCTAAAACTTTTTATTCATACATTTCATTCAACATCACTTGAACTACTCTATACACATGTCAGACTTAACGATAACCTAAGCAGCTCACTAAGCTTCACTAGACGAGTATACACCGAAGGACCAACGCTTTTCCTCGGGATTTCAGATCTTACTTCGCTCAAGTTCCACCGCTGCTCACGTTCCAGAACTCGATTTCGTGCTCGAGAATGGTGATGAAGGTGGTTTCGGCGGCCGCGACAACATGCTCCGGAGCTTTCTCTAGGCATCGGTTGGCAATTTGCTGAAGGGAGCGACAGTACTCTCTGAATCCAGGACTGCCCCACCTCTGACAAGCCTCCACTAACTCTGGAGGAGTATTGTTTCCATCTTCCAAGCAGTGGGCGAAGCTCTCTTGATACACCGCTTCGATCGCCCAAAATGCTGTAATTGCAACAGCATACTCGACTTCTGGCAACGTCAACTTCTCCAATAACCTGCCCAAGGAAATAGTGGATCTCCATGACCAACATCAACTCGTAGGAAGGTAAAACACAAGAATGTGCAGTCGTTGTACACTAAGATATCGTATCAAGAACCAACTAATTAATCGCTTTAACTTAGATCCGGATTACTTGTTACATCATTTCCTCCATAGTAATGAATCCATCCTAATTTCTGCCTAATGTTAGGAATTTTGCGTAATGAATCCATCCTTTACATACCTAGCTTGAGACAACAATCAAAGTGATTGTTCCAACAGTAAGTCTCGACTAACTTGCTATTTGTCAAGTCCAAGTATCCAACAGAGGATCGAGTTTCATAAACAAGAAGAAACAATCAAGAATCATTGGCTTAGCGATCTACAAACCTGCAGTAATTCCGGGTTGCGTTGTGGACGGTGAGATTAGCGAGCGAGACGTCTCGTTTGGAAGCTTCTCGTTTGAACCAATCGATCTCACCGCTCAGAGACGCCAAGCCGCCCAAAACGACTTCCATATCCTCCGGCGACTGCTTGGAAGCCTTAATTAGCACGCTCGCCATGAAAGGGACGAATTCCCTAACGAACACATAGTCCTGCGCCTGCGGAGTAATTTTCCCCCAAAATTAGAAAAATTCAATCAAAATCATATGGCCGGAGAGAGCAGAGGAAAAACAGAAAAGGGGGAAAGTAAGGAAACGGGGGAAGTAATATACCAGCCAGCGTTTGAAGGCGGAGGGATCGATGGATCCGTCTCGAATTCGGACGGTGAAGGGGTGTCGCGTAGCTCCGGTGTATAGAATGACATGCTTCTTGATCCAAGTCTTGGTGATTCCGCCGGCGTCCGCCATTTTCCTCCGCTTCTTGCTTTTCGGACTGGACTCGCCGTTCACCGCTTTCTTACTTGGTGAGTGTTGGCGAGGGAGGGTTTTATGGGGCTGACTGTTCGATCGGCAATCGGCATCGAGGAACAAGTGTCACACGCGTGGGATGAAGCAGAGTTCGCACGTGGCACAGTCTGGACTCTGGAGCTTTCGATTCCTCTGGGCTCATGATTGGCTGCTTCGTTGGGCAAATACTTTCGGCCCAATTCTGCTCCCGCCAATCGCCTCTGTCCGAAAAGCTCGGAGCTACCCCGACCTTACTCCTTTTACCATTCGGCCAAGGAAACATTCATCGGATTTATATATACACACAAAGAGAGAATTAAGTTCGCAATTTATTTAGGGTTTCTCGTTTCTCTCCGCTCGGATTCTCCTCCTCCTCTCCTTTCAATCCATGGTGGTCACCGAGATTCGCTGTTCCGATCGTGATCTTCCGGCAATCCCACTCTGTTTCGACTCCTATATCGACGGAAACAGAGTATCTTGTCAGTTTATTGCTCGAATAAGCTTTGCATAACTTCGTCACCTTTGGCTCCTGGGAAACCAGTGCCTCATGACGGATTGGCAGCAGGGTTGGTTTGTCAACCCCGTAGCAATTATAAACTTGTGCAGCAGCAGCTAGGAGATGAACCAGAACCAGAACCAGAACCAGAACCATCCTTTGTTTATGTTATAAACGCGCTGCTATGGATCGGAAAATCGCTAGAATCGACAAAGCAAGAATACGAAAGCGAGAATCGAAAACACAGACACACGATTTACGTGGTTCACTAACACGATGTGTGTTAGCTGCGTCCACGGGCGAGAGAGAGCCAGTTTCACTATATCGAGGAGATTACAGATTACAGAAGAGTATGAGAAGTATTTATTGTTGAACACAATGTAATGCAATCTGACAGTCTTTTATTGAAAGCAAAGAAGGAAATATAAAGACGTTGATGTAGACCACAATTCTCGGTCACTACCAACAGCACTAACCTCTAGACTCCTGATCTTCAGCAATCACTACTAACTAATTCACCTATAAACTCTCTAACAGCCCACGCAACAATGCATGACTTATTTGTACCAAACTAGAACTTAGGTACTGACTTGACACAAAGACAAACGACGCAGTTTTGACTAAACTGACAGACTCAAATCAAACAGCAGAACTTGGCGCCTTCCTTCAATCCTTATGCAGCAAGGATTCAACCTTCAACAGCTCCAACAGATCCTCCCCTGAACTGAAGTCTCTTCTATCATCAGACTTCAGTTCACTCCATCGTTCTCGTCACTCCAACTTCCCTGCAGCCTTAGAAATATCACAGACTCCCAATTTGCTTCTTAATCTCATAAATGAATCCAACTTTAAAGCCTTAGTCATGATATCAGTAACTTGATCTTGTGTCCCACAATACTCCAGCTTCCCTGCAGCCTTAGAAATATCACAGACTCCCAATTTGCTTCTTAATCTCATAAATGAATCCAACTTTAAAGCCTTAGTCATGATATCAGTAACTTGATCTTGTGTCCCACAATACTCCAGCTTCACAATTCCAACCTTTGCTAAATCTCTGAGAAAATGGAACCTCACATCTATATGTTTACTCCTCCCATGGAATACTGGAATCTTAGACAACTTAATTGTGGAACTATTATCACACAGAATAACAGTTCCTTCCTTCACACTTTCTTGCCAGCCTATCTCTTCTAGAACCCTCCTAAGCCATACACACTGAGATGCACAGTAGGATGCAGCAATGAATTCTGCTTCAGTGGTAGATAAAGTGACCACAGGTTGCTTTTTTGATGCCCAGGACACAGCTCCTCCTGCCAGGAAAAAGGTATAACCACTGGTACTTCTTCTATCATCAAGATCACCTGCATAATCACTGTCAGTGTAGCCCAGTAGACATCCTTCCTCAGTCCCTCTTCGATACAGAATTCCATGGCTCATTGTGCCCTTTAGATACCTCAAAATCCTCTTTCCAGCCAACATGTGTTGTCTGGTTGGCGCCTCCATATACCTGCTCAATAGACACACTGCAAACATGAGATCTGGTCTAGTTGCAGTGATGTATAACAGGCTTCCAATAAGCTTCTTGAATTCAGCAGGATCTGCAGGGCAGCCATCTCCAGCCTTTGTCAACTTTGCACCAGGAACAATTGGATTGTGAGTGAAGTTGCAATCCAATAGATTAAATCTGTTCAGAATCTCCTTTGCATACTTCTGTTGAGTGATAAAAATGCCAGCCTCACTCTGAATCACCTCCACTCCTAGAAAGTACCTCATCTTCCCCAGGTCAGTCATCTCAAATTCAGCCTCCATTGACTGCTTAAACTCTTTGATCATCTCATCATTAGTGCTGATGTACATGAGATCATCCACATACAAGCTTACAATCAACATATCAGCTCCAGCCCTTTTGATGAACAGAGTTGCCTCATTTTGACACCTCTCAAAACCTTGACTCAGGAAATAGGCCTCTATTCTGCTGTACCAGGCCCTAGGAGCCTGCTTCAACCCATACAAAGCCTTCTTTAGTTTATAGACTTTATTCTCCTCCCCAGCAACCACAAATCCTTGTGGTTGCTCAACATATACATCTTCAGTAAGCTCACCATTCAGTAAAGCACTTTTTACATCAAGCTGCCAAATTGTTAATCCATGGTGAGCAGCAAGAGCAAACAGTACTC